CAAAACAGACAGGGGGAGGTTAAGAATAGTATAGGAAAGGGAGAAGCCAAAGAACTTGTATGTATAACCCATGGGCATGAACTAAGAGTTGGGGGGAGGAATGCTGGTGGAAGCGGGGTGCAGGTTGGAGGGGAATAAAGGGGAGAAAAAGATGGGACAACTGTAATAGCCTAATCAATAAAATAGAAAAAAGGTAATGTTCTATTTGAGATACATAAAAAAGAAAAAATGTTAAGTATGAGATTGTCTATTAGACAGCATAGTGAAGATGAAATGGAGATAGTAGGATATTCAACTTTGAAGTTCAAGAGAATTTCAGGCTATAAATATACATTTGAGAGTCAAGAATAAGTACATGAGACTGGATGAGATCACTGAGGGATGGGTATCAATACAAAGGAGGATAGAGAAGAGATATAAGTACTGAGTTTGGGGATGCTCTAACACTTGGACATTAGGTGAGGCCTCATGGACATCATGAGACTAAAATAGGACAGTCAGAGAGATAAAAGCAAAAAAATCAAATTACCATATGTCAGAAGCCAAATGAAGAAAGTGTTTAAATCAAAAGAGAGAGAGCACAGCCGATCAACTTTGTGAAATGTTTCTAATAGTTCAAATACAATGAAGCCGGAAATTGACCCCTGAATTGAGCAACATAAAAATAAATATTACCTTTAAAAAAAGTTTTGACAGAATGATGGGGAGAAAGACAAACTACAGTAGGTTCAAGAGTGAACAAAAAGTGTGACATTGGAGACAGAAGTTTAAACAACTCTTTCCATAAAATTCCTGTAAATGATACACAAAACTTAGTAAAATAGAGAGTATCTGATTAACATGATTACAAATCTGAACTAAGAAATAAATATAAAACACTGTACCCAACTATTTCCTAATTTATAATTTCTAAAGTATACACAGATCATTTCCAAAAAATGATCCTACAGTAGAGGACAACAAATTTCAGAAATTTGAAACCTATCATTATGTTCCAAAAAACAAAGTAATTAAAAGCAAGAAATCAATCATAAAAAGATAAAAATTATGTTTTTGAATATTTAAAATTACACTTATAAGTAACCAATGCATCAAATAAGAAGTCCTAATGGAAATCAGAAAATACTTTAAAAAGAAAGAAGTACATAAAATATGTAGGATACATTCAAACAAGTATTTTGAAGAAATTTTATGTCCTTAAATATATGTATGAGGGGGAAAAAAAAGCCTGAAAAGTAATAATGTAAGCATTCATTTGAAGAAATTAGAAAAAAAAACTTAATAATGAAGAACAAAATTAATGAAATAATAAACAATAGGAAGGATCACCAAAGCAAAGAGTTGGTCCTTTGAAAAGACTATTAAAAACAACAGACAAGAAAAAGAGAAAGTCACTAGAGATTCTGTGGACATTAGAATGTTGAAATGATACTATAAAACACATTCTAAAAATGTTTTTTAATTTAGAGAATGCCTCAAAATATAGATACTGAATGGCATAAGAAGAAATTTCTAATTGTTCCTTTATCCATTAAGTAAGTATAACCATCCTTCAAAGGAAAGTTCAAAACCAAATGGCTTCACTGGCGAGTATAAAAACTCTAATATTATACAAATTGTTCCAGATATTGAAAGAAGACAAAATGAATTGGCAAGATTATCATAACGTTTACATTACCTAGATCCCAAAATCGAATTTTAAAAAACCCCAAGAAAGGCAAGTTATTGGCCAACCTCAATTATAAAAATAGATGTAAATATCTTAAACAAAGTATTAGTTAACTGAGACCAGAAATCTACAAAAATTATGATATACCACAACTGATTTGACAAAGCACATCCATTCCTGGGGAAAAAAAAAACCTCTCAGTAATCTAGGAATAGAAGGAAACTTCTTCACCCTGATAGAAGACACCTATGAAAAATGTACAACTAATATCATACTAACTACTAAGAGTCTGAATGCTTCCCTCTTAGATGTGAAAAAAGTCAAGAATGTCCACTTCAGCCTTTGTATTCAACAATGTACCTAAAGGTCTAGCCAGTGAAACAAGAGAACAAAAAGTATGCAGACTGAAGAAGTACAACTGTCTTTATTTGCAGATGACTTAATTGTCTACACAGAAAACTAAATGGAATCTATAAAAAGGCTACTAGAATTAAAAGGTAAACTTAGCAAGGGTATAGAATACCAGATAAATAAAAATATAAATAAAAAATAAAAAAAATAAACTGTAAAACCTCTGGTTTCAGCCTGACATGTAGAGTTTAGAAGGCATCATTCCCATTGTTACAACAATAAAAAAATATGATTAAAACTGAAAATCAAAGATGTTTTGTGAAAACATCAGGGTAGTGAGGTACAAGGTAAAATGGCTCCCCAAAACATGAAAAGAAAGGCAAATCCAGAGTCACAATTGAGGTATGTTATCACCTGGAGCAGAAACCACTGAAATTATAAATGATTAAGAACAATTAAATGATAACTCTGATGCACTGCTAAAAGCTGAGTGTGCATTAACACAAGAGTAAGAAGCTCCTAGGGGCCACAGTATTACAGAGGCCCCCATACTTCAATGTTTTTACTTCCAGGAACCCCACTAGGTTCTTACAATGAAAATCTGAGAAAGATTCCCTTGTGGTTCTGACAGGGAAAGAGTAAACAGGGAAGTAAGACTGTCATTATTTGCAGATGATATGATAGTACACATAGAAAACCTTATAGTCTCCACCAAAAAACTACTTGACCTAATAAGTGAATTTGGCAAATTAGGGGGACACAAAGTCAATATTCAGAAATCAATGGCATTTTTGTACACCAGCAATGAACTATCAAAAAAAAAAAAAAACAAGAAAAAAATCTCATGTACTCATCAACAAATAAAATACCTAGAAATAATTTAACCAAGGAGGTAAAAGACCTGTACTCAAATAACTATGGAACACTAAAGAAAGAAATCAAGGAAGATACAAATAAATGGAAGCATATATTGTGTTCATGGATTGGAAGAATTAACATAATTAAAATGTCCATACTATCCAAAGCAATCTATAGATTCAACACAATTCCTATAAAAATACCAATGGCATACTTCAGAGGTATAGAACAAATATTCCAAAACTTTATATGGAAGTAACAAACACCCTGAATAGCCTCAGTAATCTTGAGAAAGAAGAACAAAGTAGAACAGATCACAATAGCTCATAAAAAACTATACTACAAGGCCACTGTAATCAAAACAGTCTGGTACTGGCATAAGAACAGACACATAGATCAATAGAACAGAACAGAGAGCCCAGAAATAAACTCATGTCTTTATGTTCAATTAATATTTGACCAAGGGGGCATGAGCATACAATGGAGTAAAGCCAGTCTCTTCAATAAATAGTGTTGGGAGAACTGGACTGGTACTTGCAAAAAAAAGAAACTAGACCATGAACTTACACCATACACCAGAATAAACTCATAATGGATAAACAACTTAAATATTTAAGCCATGATACCATGAAAGTCCTAGAGGAAAATATAGACAAGAAAATTTCAGATATCCCATGCAGCAGTATTTTTGCCAATATATCTCCTAGGGCCAGGGAAATAAAGGAAAAAATAAACAGATGGGACTACATCAAAATAAAAAGCTTCTGCATAGCTAAAGAAACCATCAACAAAATGAAAAGGGAACCCACTGTATGGAAGAACATATATGCCAATGATACATTGGACCAAGGTTTGATCTCCAAAATATATAAAGAACTCACATGACTCCACTCCAGGAAGACAAACAATCCAATTAAAAAATTTGTTCTGAACAGACACTTTTGCAAGGAGGACACAGAGATGGCCCACAGACATATGTAAAGACGCCCAACATCACTAGCCATCAGAGAGATGCAAATTAAAAACACATTGAGATATCACCTCACACCTGTCAGAATGCCATCATTAACAAATCAACAAGTGCTGGTGAGGATGCAGAGAAAAGAAAACCCTAGTGCACTGTTGATGGGAACGCAGACTGGTGCAGCCACTGTGGAAGACAGTATGGAATTTCCTTAAAAAACTAAAAATGGAACTGCCTTTTGACCCAGCGATTCTGCTGCTGGGAATATACCCTAAGAATCCTGAGTCATCAATTCAAAAGAACTTATGCATCCCTATGTTCGTAGCAGCGTTATTTACAATAGCCAAGTGCTGAAAACAGTTGAAGTGCGCATAAGTAAAATAAGAGGATCAAAAAACTGTGGTACATTTACAAAATGGAATACCACAGAGCAAAAAGAAAGGAGCTCCTACCCTTCGTGACAGCATGGATGGAACTGGAGAGTATTATGCTAAGTGAAATAAGCCAGCTGGTAAAAGACAAATACCATATGATCTCACCTATAAGACAAATCTAATGAATTGAATAAACTAACAAAATGGAACCACAGGCATGGAAACATGGAACATACTGAAAGTGACCAGAGGGGAGGTGGGAGAGGGATAATGGTGGAAAGACAGGGAAGGGACCAGACAAAGAACATGTATAAATTACCCATGAACATGCACAAGTGTGGGAACTGACTATGGGATTGTGGGGTGGGATTGGCAGAGGAGGGCAAAGGGGGAAAAATTGGGACAGCTATAATAGAATAACAATAAAGAAATGAGTAAAAAAACGAAACCCAGCCCTGGCTGGTGTGGCTCAGTGGATTGAGTGCTGGACTGCAAAACAAAAGGTGGCTTGTTCAATTCTCAGTCAGGGCACATGCCTAGGTTGCAGGCCAGGCCCCAGGTTGGGGGTGTGCAAGAAGCAACTGACTGCTGTATCTTTCACCTATCAGTGTTTCCCTTTCTTTCTCCCTCCATTTCCCTCTGTCTAAAAATAAATAAATAAAATCTTTTAAGAAAATAAAAAATAAACAAAAAAACAAATAACTTAATTATCATTACAAAATATACTACAAAAAGCCAAGTTATTAATAATAAACTATTAGTTGCTGAAGGCAATTTAGTTTACCTCAAAGAATTATTCTCTGCTTTTTGTCTGCCAAGTTCACTTTCAGTATCCATTGCCTTTCTTGCTAGTGATTTCATTTCTTTTTCCACAGTGGTTATGGTTTCCTTCATCAAAGTCATATTTGACATTTGCTCCATACGTTCATCATCAAGCTATCCAAGCAGAATGACAAGGTTATTGCCATCACTAAAAAAGTCTTAGTGATCTTCCTAAAGAGGCATCCTCTCTTTGTAAAGACTGGTATATGACAAGATTTATATGATGAAATGATCAGATTAGATGTGAACACTGTGGGAGGCTATGTGGACAAGGCATTGTGGGGCAGGAACAAGAACAGTATACCCATTTACATTTTTAATCTGGTTCAATTTGACTTTAGCATAAATATCTTATTTGCAAAAAAAATGTATTTGTTGCTCAGCATTAACAAATTATTGCTATAAAATGAAATTATGAAAAAAAGTTTTTCCCCATCTACTGCTTTTTTTACTCATTATAATGCCATAATACAGATTAATTTATAAATATATTCAATTAAATTTGGTAACAGAAAGTCAAATTCCCTTAATTTTGTTCATATAGTTATAACATCTCAAATATATATTCATAGCCTCTCAAGTCCTTGATTAGTAAAAAAGGTGATGTTTCACATTTAAATTCAGTTTACATATATTTTTCTAATTTTTATTTCATCATAATTTTCTCTACCCCAGTTACTCTTGAGGCAGAAAAACCCAATTTATCTGTATCTTGCAATGCTATCTTTAATGAAATAGGGATATGAAAAATTTGCTAAAATCCATGAGAATACATCCTTAATGTTTTTTTAAAAAAACATACTTTGCAACCTAACATATAAAGGATTTTGCTCACATTATTAGAAGGAAATGAACAATGAAGAAATGACAATTTACACCATATATACCACCTTAAGTCTTTTAGGATTAAAAACCCTAACCTAGAAAATTCAAAGAACTTCTCAGAACATTATAAAAAAGGAAAAGGGTAAAGCTATTGACAGTTTATACCCAAAAATGCAAAAGTGATTTTTCTTTACATTATGAACTGTACACTCCAGCTCCTCTATCCTTTGTTCCAAGTGAGCCTTCTCATTAAACGCTGTCTCTTGTGCAATCTGGTTAAAAAACAAAATCAAAACAAAGTGCTTTCAGTGTCACTGCACTGTGTTTCACAAATGTTCATATAGATAAAATTCTTTCAAACCTTCAGTCTTTCTCTCAGACTATCTCGTTCTGTGGTCATTCTTCGTAAATCAGTGAAGGCTACATCTCTTTCAGTCTCCACCCGCCGGAGGATGGCATGTGCTGTTGTAGATTTTGGAGACTTACAGCTTTTCATCATTTCTCGTCGAAGTCGAGCAATTTCTTCCTGCGCCTATTATTTAAAAACAGATAGACTCCTATTTAACAAGCTTTAAAACAGACATAAATACAGCTATCTTATATCTAGCCAGTTAAAATTCAAACCTATTATCAATACACAAGCAGTAGAATAATGGTATAATTTTGACTTTATACAAATAAATGCAAAAGATGTCCCCAAAATGCCAATGGATGTATAAAAATAGAAGTTTGGTTTACAATACCTTTGTCAAAATTTTTTAGAATTAATTTGGAGGGAATCAATGCAAGAGAAAATTATATACTAAGAAATACATATGGTATACTTCACCCATTTTGTAATATAAACTTGAATTCAGTGTAATTCAGGTAGAATACTGGTTTAATAAATATTATCATAGTGTTAGTCTTTCTGTACATACATAGTCATGTCCTAGGTGCCCTTACCATGATAGAAAGGCCCACCAATACTTGCTGACAACCCAACATACTCTCTACATACTGTTTAACCATTCTAGGTTCCAAACATATTCTATATCTGCAGATGACATCCTGTCCTACTTTGTGGCATAAGTCCCTTAATCTTTCTTCCTCTTGATTGTAATCACTACCTATACATCTAGTCTCCAAGTCTCAGAGGAAGATATGTTACTTCCCAGTTTCTATAGCTAAGCCTCTATCAACTCCTAGACCTTATCTCCTGAAGTGTCTCCTAAGATATCCCTGGCTCAATTATACTTATTTCCTCTCAATTTAAACTTCTCTCTCTCCACTGACTCCTGGCATGCACAGGGTTCCCATATCTTGGAAATTTGTCACTTAATCCTGTTGTGCCCCATTTACCATGCTATGACTCTCTCTTTCTTTTAAGTGTCTGTACCATGGCCTCTTCCTTACTACCCACTTCCTCACCACAGTGTAACCCACCATTTCCCAGAATTTCAACAAATGACCTCACCAAATCTAATGGCCTTTTCTCAGCTCCTGTTCTTGATATTTCAGCAACATTTGACATTGTTTGCAATATTCTCCTTGAAATTTCTTACTCCCTTGGTCTTTTAAGATTGTTCTGCCTTAGTTTCCTATCTTTCTTTCAAATGTTGCTCTACTGATCAAATAAAACTTCCCAAGGTCCTTGATTTATAGCTTTCTCATTCAGAGACCTCATCTACTCTGAAGGCTCAAAATTCACCTCTAAGCAGATGACTTCTAAATCTACCTACTAAACTCTTGCTTTTATCCCCACTCCAGTCCCATGTTTCTTACAGCATCCAAATACATCTTTCTCATCAATCACCAATGACTTTTCTATTTCTTTTTCTATTACCACAATTCTTTAGTCATTCAAAACAGAACTTCAGACACTTCCATTCATCCCTCCTTTTTACCCAAATCAAATGTTATCGAGTCTTTCTTAATGGAACACTAGCTTAGTCCCTTAAAGCCTCATGTTTGGACTACTCTAACAGCCTTCTAAAGAATCCATGGTTTCTTCCTCCTTCATTTCTCCTGAAAGATAAATTGTTATGTAAGAAAATAACATATGAACATTATGTATGAGATAATACAAAATTGTTACCAGGTTAAAGCTGTAAAAATGTGGCTTTGATCATATTTCTTCTGCTTAAAAAAACAGACTGTCCATTGCTTATAAAGCAAAGCAAAAACCCCTTGTACACCCCAGTAAACAGGCTCCACCATATAGTCCAGAAGCCGGTAACTATATATGGCTCACTGGCCAAATCCAGCCTGTCTCCTGCTTTTTTTATGTCTATGAGCTTATAATGTTTTTTATATTTTTAAACAATGGGAAAAAAATCAAAAGAAGAAAAATATTTCATAACATAAAAAATATGAAATTCAAATTTCAGCATCCATAAAGAGTCATGTTGTGACACAACAAACATACTCAAATGAGTAAGACTATTGTCTATGCATGCTTTCACACCACAAAAACAGAGGTGAATAGCTGTAACAGAAAACACATAGCCTGCAGAGTCCAGGATATTTATTTTCTGGGCCTTCACAGGAAAAGTTTGCAGACTTCTGCTCTAGTCCCTTCTACATTTCAAGCCTTAGCTCCCCCTTCCTACACCAACACATATCTTTGATTCTAGTCTTTAACTGATCCACTTATCTGCTGATTTTCCTACCTTTATCATTTGCCCCACATCACTCCTTTATTCTAGAATGTTCCTTCTTATCCCTTTAAAGATAATAGAAACCCCATTCACCTATCCCTCAGGACTCAAACTCTACACTCTCTAGCAAAGATTTTCTTGATCACCATAAATAAAAATACCCACTTATTTTATTTATACAATATCTTCTAGACTACCCATTGTAAAGTAAGAAAATAAAAAACAAAAATAAGACATTACACTTTATCTCCCCAACTAGATGGCAAACATAGAAGAGTGCCTGCAAATGTTTTTAAACTATTTTCCACGGTACTCCACAGCTTGATGAGGCTGTGGGGTAAATGACAGTGGCTTCTCATGAACTTCTCTACACTTCAAATCTCAATGTAAAAATTTCTGAAAAGAGGAATATATCCAAGCCAAAAGGAGTAGGTTTGAGGGTGGGAGGTGGGGATGAGTGGGGAGGGAAGAGTTGTGGGGGAAAATGGAGACAACTGTAGTTTAAAAATAATAAAAAAAAATGCAGCAAATAAAAAACAAATGTAATAAAACAAGTTGTGGGTTTATTTGTAAAAAATAATAAAATAAAATTTTAAAAAAAGGACTATATCAAAAATTTGAAAATCACTCTCATAACACGCTATATGCAAGTATAGAATTTACAAGGCAGGGGTTTCAGTAAAACAATCTCATACTTTACTCTACCCAGACTTCTCATTAAAGGACTTTCCTGCCCCTTAGCAGTCGTGGTCCTATAATTATGTATGTACACTGACTCAGGTTTCACAGCACAGACACAGACACCAGGGGACTCTAATCAAAACAAAACAATCACCCCACAGACTTAGAAGTGGTAACTGCTATTTAAATTAACTAAACTAAAAATAAGAAAGCTAATTATAGAAGAGAGTATCATGTATCATCCATTAAATAGCTAATATAATGTTTATAATTTTAAGTACAATAAAATTCCACTGACACACTTAGGACAAGAAATTAACAATACTGAGACCAGAGTGAGAAAGAAAACAGTATTCTGATTTAATCAAAAGGATTCCATGCTATGATATAGTATACACTGTGCATTTGTTTTATATATTAAGATACATGCCCACTGATCCATTTCCACAAGAGCCAAATCATCTTCAACAAGCTTAATTAAATGGCAAACAGAAAACTGAAATAGGAGTCAGAAAATTTAGACTCTGAAAACTGCTGAACTTGGGCAAATCTGTTAACATTATCAGACCAGACCTGCCTTCTCATATATAAAATGAAGGAAATAGGCCATATAATCATGGTATCCAAAGTCATTTCAGTTATTGAAAAACAGGTGATAAAGCTTGACTTCAAACTAAAATAAAATCCACTAAGGTGAATATTAAAATTTAACAAAAAAAACAGTGGGAATCAAGATGGTGGAGGAGAGAGTAGAAGTCACACTGACCTCATCCCAGGACCAACCTGGAATTACAACTAAATTGGAGAGAAATCACCTGGAACAAACAACTGAACAATAGCGAGAAAGGAGCCTTGTGAGAGCCCAGGAGAGACAGAAGAATTGGCTTCAGCGGAATCTAACCGGTAAGGAGTACAGTACAGACCTGAGAAGGCGGGCAGCAGCACCAGAAGGATCTTGAAACGGCCATTTGGATCCCCCTGAGAAAAGTGGGGTCTAAACTAAAAGCTGAGATCTCTAGTCCACAGCACCAGAGCCCAAAAAGTACACAGAAAACAGCCAGCTGTAAAAAGCGGCAGGGTTGCTCTCTCCCAGAGACAGGCGGCTGGAGATGCAAAGAACCGTTTAAAGGGCCAATGCAAAATGTTTATTTGCAGCCATTTACCCTGCTCTCCAGCAAAGGTGGGGGCACAGTGGGCTAGAGACGCCTGAGGAAACACTGGGGAAGGAGGCTTTGGGGAAAGAACTGGGAGAGTAGCCAGCGGGATCTCCGTGCTGACTCATCCCCCATGCGGCAGCAGCCATCTTGCTCCAGCAGAGACCACACCTCCTGAGTGGCACCAACATCAAAGGACCCAAAAGCGCCCCCCTAGGTGGGATTCCACCCCACCTTGTGCTGTCTAAGCTGCCTGCTGTGTACAGAGGGCAGCCACAGACAGTAGATCCCTGGCTAAAGGGGGCGCAGAGAGGTCTCGTGACACTTGAGGAGAGACTGGCGATGGAGGCTTTGGGGAGAGAACAGAGAGAGTAGCTGATGGGATCCCAGTGCTGTCTCCTCCCCCATACACATTAGCATGAGAGGACCCAATAACCCCGCCCCCAGGAGGGACTCCTGTCCGCCCTGAACTGTCTAAGGCGGCCTGCTGAGTGCAGAGTGACTAGATTAAAAGCTGAAGGAGACTGCCACAGACAGTAGATTCCTGGAAGTCTCAAACAGACTACCTAGGGTCAGACAGGGTCAACATCTGACATCATCAGAGGCAGATCCACAAAGTAAAAACAGCAGTCTCCAACCACAGAAGTTCACACCACAAAGTCAGGAAATCAAGACAGATCAATTTAAGAAGCAGAAGCAAAAGAGAAGAGTCTCACAAATACTGGGAAACAAAGAAATACCCCCCACTTGAAAGGAAAGGAGGAATCCCCAGAAAGAAAACCAAATGAAATAGAGGCAAGTAAACTATCAGATATTGAGTTCCAAACAACGGTTCTAAGGAAGCTCAATGAGCTCAGTCAACTCAGAGAGAATTACCAAAAACTACAGGGAAACTAAGAGGAACTTACTGTAAACTATACTACCATGAAAAAGGACATAGAAACTATCAATAAGACACAAGAGGAAATGTAGAATACAATTTCTGAATTGAAGAACACAGTGGAAGGAATAAAAGCAGGCTCGATGAAGCTGAAGACTGAATCAGGGAGGTAGAGGACAAAGTAGAAAAAAGCCCCCAGGAAGAGCAAGAAAATGAAAAAAGACTCAAAAAGAATGAAGAGGTGTTGAGGGAAATGCAGAACAACCTGAAACATAATAATATCCGTATAATAGGGATACCAGAAGGCGAAGAAGAGGAGCAAGGGATAGAGAACCAGTTTGAAAAAACCATGATGGAAAACTTTCCTAATTGGAGGAGAGGAAAAGTCCAGGAAGCACAGAGGGTCCCATTCAAGAGGAACCCAATGAGGCCCACTCAAAGACACATCATCATGAAAATGGCAAATATCAAAGACAAACAGAGAATCCTAAAGCAAGCAAGGGAGAAAAAGGTAGTAACATTTAAGAGAGCACCAGAACGGCTAGCAGCTGACTTCTCAACAAAAGCACTGCAAGCCAGAAGGGAATGGCAAGAAATATTCCAAGTCATGAAAAGCAAAGGCCAAGAATGCTCTACCCAGCAAGGCTCTCAATTAAAACAGAAGGCAAAATAAGGAGTTTCCCAGACAAGAGAAGGCTAAAAGAATACACCTCCACCAAATCAGCACTGCAAAATATGCTAAAGGGACTGCTTTAAGATAAAGAAAGTGTTTCTATGAATACCCATTTCTTTTCGGAGTTGCCAATATTTGATATTACTAATATTTTTAATACTCATTAATCTGATTGTGACAATGATGTTATTTTAATTGTTCTTTTATTATTTGTGAAACCAAACCTGTTTTGATATATTTCTTGCCTATTTCTATTATTTAAAAAAAAAGCTATAAATGACTTTTTTGGTATTCTTTATCCATTTATTGATTAAAGGTTTGTAGAACTTTTTTCAAAAACAAAAAAACAAAAGAACCCCTATTAACTATGTTTCAGATGTGTTGCAAATACTTTTCTATTCCTTGTCCTTTAACTTTTTTTATATGTATATTACTATATAGTCTTAAATGTTTAATATAGTCATATTGTCAACATTTACTTGATAGTTTCTGGGTTTGAATATTTTACTTCGGGTCATGAAAAATATTAGTTCTATTTTTCAAACATTTTGAATATTTTTAGAATATTTCTTCTAAAACTCCTTAGATTCTACATATTGATTTTTAACTCACCTGAATATTTTTTTGTATAATGTGTGAAATAGGGCTCTATATTTGTTTTATTTCAAGTAATAGTGGTCCATTAACCTTATAATTTGAATAAGCCTTACTTTACCCATTGATTTGAAATATCAACTTAATCATATATTGTTAGATATATATGTTTGTCTCTAGAATGTTCATTATATTTCATTGATCTACTTGATTATTTCTGTGCTGGTGTCATGTTGGTTTAATTGCTGAGACTTTATAAGGGTTTTACATTTTTTAAATATTTTAGAATTAACTTTGACATTTAAAAAAATAAATAAAATCAATCTGCATTTAAGAAAGAAAGAAAAAGAGAGAGAGATGGAACTGCTACCTTTTGTGACAACATGAATGAAATCGGAGAATATTATGCTAAGTGAAATAAGCCAGTTGATGAAAGACAAATACCATATGATCTCACCTATAAGTGGATTCTAGTCAACAAAATAAACTAACGAACAAAATAAACCACAGGCATGGAAACATGGAGCAGACTGAAAGTGACCAGAGGGGATGGGGAAAGAGGACAACGGTGGAAAAAAGGGGAAGGGACTAGACAAAGAACATGTATGAATGACCCATGGACATGGACAAAAGAGTGGGAATTGACTGTGGGAGAGGGGAGTGGGGGTGGGATGAGTCAAGGGGGGTTAAAGGGGGAAAAATTGAGACAACTGTAATAGAATAAACATGATTTATAAATTAAAAAAATAAAGTAAATAAAGTAAAAAAAATAAAATAAAATAAAAAAATAAAATTTAACTAAAAAACCGTGTCTGCACCTTATCTTTTTTTCTCTTAGAGTAGCAGGCACATAACCCTGCACAAAGCTGCGGTAATTCTTAATAAAATTTGATATTTTTATAAGAAATTGTGTTGGTAATGTATGGGGTTTAATATTTGTTGAGTAAAGGAACTGCTTGGTTAATAAGAGCTTTTTAAGCTAAAAATGGAGATAAACTACAAACTGATTTTACTCTCTGAAATTAAACAAATTATATGGCAGTTTCTTAGTGACTGATAGTACATGAAAATGATATCTTAGTATTTTGTAATCCCCAAACTCAAAACTTTTTACCCTGAACTCACCATATACTTCCATTTAACATCTCCCTCATTTCTTATTCCAAAAATGATACTATTTCTATCCACATATATGGTCTTTTATGGGAACAGGGATAACATATGTGTGTATACACATACACTGTACTGGAAATATACTATACTTCATTAAAAGTACCTTAAAACAAAGGTAATTTCCAAATGATACTAAAATTAATTTGATTGGCAGATTTAAACATACCTAAAGAACAGTGTATCTCTAAAATTAACAGTTATTACTTACATATTTTGTTTCCTTATAAAGAAGTTTACCTGTTCATAAAGAAGAAACGTCTTGTCTCTCTCAGATGTAAGAACCTTGACATTACCCTGAATTTCTGCCAAATGACGCTCATATTTTTCCAGCATACACTTAAGTTCTTCACGGTCTCTTGTTGTCTTCAAAAGCTCTACATCACAGTTTGTACCCTACAATCATTATATAAGAAATTTGAAATTCTCTGACATGTAGTATGAATAGAAAAGTACTACAATGGTAGTACATGACTACATAATGAAAGAAAATGATGAAAAAACATTTTAAAATCACCTCTCATAAATTTTTTAATTTATTGATTTTAGTTAGAGAGAGGAAATGGGGCGGGGGGGGGAGAGAGAGAGAGAGAGATTGTTATTCCATGTATTAATGCATTCATTGATTTTGGTATGTGCCCTGACCAGGGACCAAATCCACAATGTTGGCATATTGGGACGACGCTCTAACCAACTGAGATACCCAGCCTGGGCCAAAAGCACCTCTCTTTTAAACAGCTTCCTCTCAATTTGCTCCACATATTTCTGACTAACCCCCAACCAAGACTAATGTTGGGTATAAAATACCAATTTCAGTGTTTCACTATCTATCAAAGAGACCTCGGTCTCCCAATCTCTTTGATATACCAATTCATGCCAACCAACTTGAATTATTTCCAGGTAAATCAAAGAATAAAAGTCAGTGTTTGAGCAACAAACTCCAGTAATTTATAAATTTCTAAAACCTACCCGGGAAGATGGAGATGGGCGTCTGGGACTTTTAGATCTACTTCTGATCATCTTTCTCAAATTCTGAGCTTCACTCTTGTAGTAATCTCTGTCTGCTTCTAAAGTCTTGACAAAGGAATCAAGTCTGGAAGGAGATTTATTTTGTGCTTTTTCAGTATCTAAAATTATCTTGCCAGGGAGGAAAAAATTAGGCCATTATTTCAAGCTAAACCACAGTATCATTTTCTACATGAAGTTGAACACAAACAGGGTCCTTAAATATAAAAATGTGATGTTTTAAAAATAACTTTTAAAAATCATAGTTTTAAAAAGCAGTTAGATATATTTCTTTCCCAGCATTTCTGAATGTTTTCTCTTTTTATTTAACTAAAAGTACCCCTAAATTTACTCAATAATTTTGAGGAAAGAATGGTAAAGAAATTTCAGAGAGGCCAGAAATGTGCATAGATCTAGTTACAAATCCTAGAAATAAAATTAATTTACTTAGAATAACTTGTATAGCATCTAAGTTTTGATCAGTAATTGTTCAAGGAATGAATAAGTTATATGAATGCTGGATATTCATCATATACACTTTAAAGTGCATTCCCATTCACATTAATATATTTAGAAACATTTCTTTTACAATATTTATTTTACCAATGTTTTCCTGAGAAATTAGATATATCTAGAGATGTTTCAAATATTTCAAATAATAACATTAAAATGTCTAACTAGAGCAGTTTTCATTTCACATTGTTAAAGAAAACATATTACTTAGAATTAACAAAAACTGACATACAGATATTTATTACTAAGAATAAAAGTTCATGTGTAGACAAGTGCATCATATATTTTGAGAATTAAATTACTCACAGTTATCAATTTAAATCAATTAACAACTAAGGGCATTAATAAAACTAACTGAAAGTTCTTCCCCCTCTAGGAGAGAAGGGGATAATGATGAAATGGAGCAAGAATACCATTGTTCTTACATATGGGAGTACCCTCGTGCACAAAACAGAGAGGGCTGATTTTAGAACACAAACATTTTTTATTGCTCACAATGTTCATGAGAGTCGAAACATATGTACAATTTTTGTGGTTTTACTATGCTAACAATAAAAATTATTCCTTAACATATAGTTAAGAAAAATGTACTTACAGATCTAAGTCTTTTTATTGTATCTTCCAATACTATTATATTATTTTGCTGGCAAATGAGTTCAATCTGAAAATCAATCCAGAAAAAAACTATTTGGATTTTAAATATTTAAAATGACTTAACTGGAAAGAGAGTATCAAAAAAGTAAACCACTTAAAAATAAAAATATGCAGTGAATAAAAGTGAGTATTTTAAAAAGATACTCTACCTCTTTATGTTTGCCTACTTTTGATGGTAAAAGAACCTAGGATGAAATATAACAGTTCCTTTAAATCAGAAGTGTCCAACCTGCAGCCCTCAGGCCACATGCAGCTCAGGATGGCTATGAATGTGGCCCAACACAAAATCGTAAATTTACTTATAACGTTATGAGTTATTTTTGTGATTACATGTCACAATGTGTTTAATGTGTGTCCCAAGACAACTCTTCTTCTTGCAGTGTGGCACAGAGACACCAAAAGTTTGGACATCCCTACTTTAAATTATCTAATATTTTGATTATATTGATTATATTTTACCAAATTACTCCCCACACACTGCAAAAAAATGTAAATCTAATTATAATCTTGAAGATGATAGTAAGGAAGAAATAAATAATGACTAGGATTTAAATAGTTTTCCTAAATCATCAGTCAGAATTGCCTTTTCCTCTGAATTCTTTTAATAGTTTATTTCAATCCATCCCACAAAAACTTTCTGTATCAGATTTATGACATCAAACACACCAAGACTTATAATATACCTACCAATAGTTATATATTTAGAATATGACTAAATTGCATGTTCCTAAGGGCCAGTGACTACGTTTTTATGCAAAGCTGTAAAGCTCTTTGCTAAAACTTAGCAAATTAGTTTTATAAATTTACTCAATTCCTAAACCTCTCCATTATTCTAAACAAAAATGTACTAAATTTTTAGTTTTATATGTACTATTTTAAATATATTATAGAATTATTGCACCTCATTTGTTCTTTTGACCAAAGTATTTTTCTAAGATTTCTCAAGATTTCTTAATATTTTGTGAAATATTAAGGGGTTTTATAGTATGACATATAACTTATGTACACTTTCAGTAAGTTTATATGTAGTTATTCGAGTAGACAATTTTCAATGTTTTAATTTATACTACTACGTAGACACTCAAAATGGATATATATTGAAGTATGTGTAAAGATGCCCATACTAAAAAATAGTATAATTTTATCTAGTATGACACATTCTTGTGAAAAATAAATTTACACATATATCTTCTTTGGATATATAAATTATTTGGATTTAAAAGCAGATAGAAGAAAACTAATATGTAAATTGAGGAACCTCTGGGACAACTTTAAACATTCCAAGATCTGGATCACAGGCATGCCAGAAGGAGGAGAGGAAGAACAAGAAATTGAAAACTTATTTGAGAAAATAATGAATGGAAATTTCCTCAATGTGGTGAAAGAAATAGGCATACAAGTCCAGGAAGATCAGAGAGTCCCAAACAAGTTGGACACAAAGAAGAACAGACCAAGACACATCCTAATTAAAATGCCAAAGGTTTTTAATTAGGATTAAAAATGCCTAATTAAAATGCAAAAGATAAAGAGAGAATCTTAAAAGCAGTGAAAGAAGAGAATTACCTAAAAAGGAATTCCCATAAGACTATCAGCTGATTTCTCAAAAGAAACCTTACAGACAAGAAAGGGCTGGAAAGAAGTATTCTAAGTCATGAAAAGCAGGGACCTACATCCAAGATTTCTCTGTCAAGCAAAGCTATCATTTAGAATGGAAGCGTAAGTACAGTGCTTCCCAGATAAGGTCAAGTTAAAGGAGCTCATCATCACCAAGCCCTTATTATATGAAATGCTAAAGGCACTTATCTAAGAAAAAGAGGATGATCAAAATGATGAACAGTAAAAAGACAACAAACTCACAACTATCAATAATTGAACCTAAAAAAACATTTTAAAAAACCTAAGCAAACAACTAGAACAGGAACAGAATCACAGAAATGGAGATCACAAAGAGGATTATCAGTGGGAAGGGGTTGGGGAGAGAACTGGGGAAAAAGGTACAGGGAATAAGAGGCATAATTGGTAGGCAAAAATAGTCTGGGGGAGGTTAAGGATAATATACGAAATGGAGAAGCCAAAGAACTTGTATGTATGACCCATGGACATGACCTAAAAGGGGGGAGATGCTGGAGGGAGGGCGAGTACAGGGCAGAGGGGCATAAAGGAGAAGAAAAAAATGGGACAACCATAATAGCATAATCAATAAAGTATACTTAAAAAAAATATGGGAGAACATTTCAGGCAGAAGATACAGCCTATAGCAAAGGTCCTAAGGCAAAAGATGTCTGCTAAATCCCAAGGACCAGTAAGGAGGCTGGTGTGGCTGGAGCACACTGAGAAAGGAATAAATTAGTAGGAAAGTGCTACAGAGAAAAATAAAGCAGGGGAGAGAGACGGGGAGCAGTGCTGTGTGTATGTGTGTTTGGGATGGGGATAAAACTTAAGGAAACTTTATTCTGCCTTCCATATGGTAAGTTTTGATATATTTCTGATTGACCTAATCACATAGATAGGTAAGAATAATGACAGGAGCTACCAAAGATCCAATCTAATAATGTTAATTAAAAATATAAACTGTATAAAGAAAAGAGTACTGGTGAAACTGTAATTCTGCTTTTTCATATTTAAAAAAATTGTGTTCAATTATCTAGGAAACACTGTGTTAAGACATGAATAATAAACAACTCAAAATGAGAAGATAAAAGGTGGCATATAGTTGTAGTGGTTTTAAAATGTTCAAAAATTCTGATATCCCTTCCTTCAAAAGATGGAGCTTAACTGCCCTCCCCTTACACATGGGCTATATACTTAGTGACTCACATCTAATACACAGGATGTGGTGGAAGTGATGGTAAAAACTTGAGAGACTGGATCATTATAGGCATAACACACTCCTCCTTACTGTCTCTCCTGGATCACTGCCATGGAGAGAAGTCAGCTACTGTAAAAAATATATATCAAACAAACCGAGGCAGAGGTCTACCAGGCAAGGAACTGAGGCTTATCGCCAAAAGCCAAGAGCGATCTGAGGAAGTCATCTTAAAAGCAAATCTTCCAGTGCTAGTCAAGCAGTGACTGTTCCCTAACCATTGTCTTATCATACCTTTCCTGAAAAACCATGAATAAGAACTACTTAGCTATAAGCTGAAACTGAAACTTTGAAATAAAAATGCCTGTCATTTAAAGTCATTAAGGTTTAGCCCTGGCTGGTGTAGCTCAGTCGACTGAGTACTGGCCTGCGAACCAAGGGGTTGCTGGTTCACTTCCCAGTCAGGGCACATGCCTTGGTTATGGGCCAGGTCACTGGGGGGGGTGGGGGGGACAGCAAGAGGCAACCACACATTGATGTTTCTCTCCCTCTCTTCTCCTCTTCCCCTCCTTCTGAAAATAAATAAATAAATCTTTAAAAACAATAAAGTTGTTAGACCAACAAGATGGCGGAGGAGTGAATGGAAGTCACACTGACCTCCTCCCAGGACCAATCTGGAATTGCGACTAAATTACGGAGAATCACCTGGAACAAACAACTGAACAATAGCGAGAGAGGAGCCTTGCAACCTCGGAGACAGAAGAATCGGTTTTAGTGCAATCTAACTGGTAAGGAGTGCAGTAGAGACTCAAGAAGGCAGGTGGGGCGCCCACGGGCAGCACACCAGAAGGATCTTGAAACAGCCAGTTGGATCCCCTGAGAAGAGTGGAGTCTAAACCAGAAGCAGGAATTTCTGGCCTACAGCACCAAAGCCCAAAAATTACACAGAAAATAGCCAGCTGCAAAAAGCGGCAGGGTTGCTCTCTGCCAGAGACAGGTGGCTGGAGACGCAAAGAACTGATTAAAGGGCCAACACAAAAGTTTTTATTTGCAGCCACTTACCCTGGTCTTGGGCAAAGGCAGGGGCGTGTGGGCTAGAGACACCTGAGGAGAG